AAGTCAGACACTTAACCAACTGAGCCACCCAGGTGCCCCTCCAGTCCATTTTTAACAACACAGCCTGTGCCTTTTTCTTTGCTGGACCAACAAAAATGGCAATATATAGGCAGCATTTTAAAGTATGGATTCAGGGGCGCCTGGGTGGCGCAGTCGGTTAAGCGTCCCACTTCAGCCAGGTCACGATCTCGCGGCCCGTGAGTTCGAGCCCCGCGTCAGGCTCTGGGCTGATGGCTCAGAGCCTGGAGCCTGTTTCCGATTCTGTGTCTCCCTCTCTCTCTGCCCCTCCCCCATTCATGCTCTGTCTCTCTCTGTCCCAAAAATAAATAAACATTGAAAAAAAAAATTTAAAAAAAAAATAAAAAAAAAATAAAGTATGGATTCAGCACTTTACCTACCCAATAACCACAATATTACATTTGAAAATATTGACAACCACCTCTGGTTTTATATTTTGCTTTTTTGTTAACTGCTTCAAAACAATGACTTATACTTGTCTCTAGATATTTTTAGGAGGAGAGAGAAACTAAGTTTGGATTGAAGACTAGGAGAGCCAACTATGGAAACAGAAGCACTGATTCTAATACAGCAACATGACCATGACCTTTAGGCCAGACAACAGTAAAATAGCTAAACTTTCTTATTCTGCAAAATATTTCTACACCATGGTTTTATTTTTTTCAACACACCAGTGCTATGAGTTAAACTCAGGGCCCCAAACCAACCACATGTGCAAAATTCCAGAGCAAAAGTAAAATTCCTTGTTAGAATAAAATTTGATTATAATTAATACTTTCTTAAAACAACAATGTTGGTTTATAGCAGTTTGAAATAAGGAAGTAAGAAAGATGAACTTTGAAATCAGAAAGATGAATGAGTTACATATGACATTCCATCTTTCAAGTCTCTGGATTTTTTGGTATAAAATTTTCAGATGTAAGGGAGGGAGTGAAGTATATTATTGCCTATAGTGACTTTATTTTGACTACATGCTGAGTTGACTTTGTCTAAATGATCTTTAATGTGCAATACACAATGGAAGGAAAGATTTGAAGATGGAACACTGAAGGAGTTTGGTGAATACACTTGCAGATATTCCGGTCTCCAAGAAAGATTTTTTTTTTTTTTTATTAAAAAAAATTTTTTTTTTAACGTTTATTTATTTTGGGGACAGAGAGAGACAGAGCATGAACGGGGAGGGGCAGAGAGAGAGGGAGACACAGAATCGGAAACAGGCTCCAGGCTCTGAGCCATCAGCCCAGAGCCTGACGCGGGGCTCGAACTCCTGGACTGCGAGATTGTGACCTGAGCTGAAGTCGGATGCCTAACCGACTGCGCCACCCAGGCGCCCTGAAAGATTTTTTTTTTTAAGTTCATTTCTCTTGAGAGAGAGAGGCTGACAGAGAGAGACAGAGAGAGAGAATGGCAAGCAGGCTCCACACTGTCAGCCCAGAACCCGAAGTGGGGCTCAAACCCATGAACCACGAGATCATGACCTGAGCCGAAGCCTAGAGTCAAGACGCTTAGCTGACAGAGCCACCCAGGCACCCCTGAGAAGAATTTTGTTTTAAGCAGTTTATCAGAATGACCTAGGGAAGTCTTAGAACTTTAGATCTCCTGGAACCTGGCTATGCAGATCCTGATTCAGTAGGTTGGTAGGGAAGCTGCAGAATCTTTATGTCTAAAACCTTCCCCATATGACTCCAGTGCAGGCAGCAAGATGGCCAAACTTCTGAATTTTTTATTTACCTGACAGGGAAGGGCTAAATTAGAACTTATTATACTTAGACAACAATCTATATGTTTGGTAAGAGATCCACATCTTCCTTCAAAGGTAATGATGTTTCTCATAAGTAAACAACAGTTTACAGTGTATTTGAGAAGGGAAAGATTTTCAAGCTTGTTTCAGAAACAGATCTAATATTTGGTGTAAATGTTGTCATGTCCAAAATGTGAGACAATTTTGAAGGAGTCAAGAAGATCAATATACCACTACTTGCTGTAGAATGAGGTTCAAGCTAGAGCATATACTTGAAAAAGTTTGTTCATATGACTTCACAATCAGACAATAAATACGGAACCCTAAAATAGGTGCAAATAAGGCTTCTGTGTGAGGTAAATGCATATGTGCAAGGATAACCTTCATATGTAAGTGTAAATGAATCGGGCAGCATGGGCAATGTCTTAGGGACTGTCTAGGAGGCTGTTGCCCAGACCAGAGATAAGAGATTCTCAGTGCTAACAGAGAGGTAGGAGTGGGAGATATCCTAGGAATTTACAAACACACTCAAAAGAGAATTGGTTTTATTTTAAAGCCTAGAGAAGGCACGTATTGAAGCATCGTGGCAGCAGCTGTGCCTTAAGGATTTCCCTCTTCCTTTTCTTTTTCTCCTTGGACAGGCTCCAACTAACTTAGCAAGATGGGAAGCAGGAAGAGAAGGGATAGAAGAGGGCTGGCAAACCAACAGAATGGGGGAAGATATTTGCAAATGACATATAACATAAAGGCTTATTATCCAAAATCTATAAAGAACTTACCAAACTCAACACCTGAAATAATCCAGTGAAGAAATAGCCAGAAGACATGATTAGACCAAAGAAGGCATCCAGATGGCCAACAGACACATGAAAAGATACTCAACGTCACTCATCATCAGGGAAATACAAGTCAAAACCACAGTGAGATACCACCTCACACCAGAGTGGCTAAAATTAACAACTCAGGAAACAACAGATGTTGGCAAGGATGTGGCGAAATGGGAACCCTCTTGCACTGTGGGTGGGAATGCACAATTGGTGCAGCTGCTCTGGAAAACAATGTGGAGGTTCCTCAAAAAATTAAAAACAGAATTACCCTATGAGCCAGAAGTAGTACTATAGGAATTTATCCAAAGGATACAGGAGTGCTGATTCATAGGGGCACATGAACCCCAATGTTTATAGCAGTGCTATCAACAATAGCCAAAATACAGAAAGAGCCCAAATGTCCATCAACTAATGAATGGATAAAGAAGATGTGGTTTATATATACAATGGAATACTACTTGGAAATGAGAAAGAATGAAATATTGCCATTTGCAACTACGTAGATGGAACTAGAGGGTATTATGCTAAGCAAAATTAGTCAGAGAAAGACAATTATCATGTGACTTCACTCATATGAGGACTTTAAGATACAAAACAGATGAACATAAGGGAAGGGAAGCAAAAATAATACAAAAACAGGGAGAGGGACAAAACATAAGAGACTCTTAAATATGGAGAACAAACAGAGGGTTACTGTTGTAGGAGGAGTTGTGGGAGGGGGATGGGCTAAATGTGTAAGGGCATTAAAGAATCTACTTCTGAAATCATTGTTGCACTATATGCTAACTAACTTGGCTGTAAATTTTAAAGAATAAATTAAATTGAAAAAATTTAAAAAAGAAGATGTGGTTTATATATACAATGGAATACTACTTGGCAATGAGAAAGAATGAA